ACACGATTTTTCTTCCAGTCACTGAAGCCAGCACGTCCCCCCAGAACATCAGTCTTCAGTCTAATTGAAGGCTGAAGTCATGTTTTTTCTTTCTTCTACGCATACATTTCTTACTGCCAGTTGTCTTTCAAATTGGGCATGGGGTGCTCTCTAAACAATTCCTGTCCATTCCCATATTATAACAATTTGTGTATTTGCAGGTTGATTCCATATTTACCATCATATATACCTTTCTGAAATCCATGGATGTGTAACTGACATGGTGGGTTTGTTGGTCTGATACTCTGATCCCACATGCCAGAGTACAATAGATGCTGCAGAAGGCCATAAGGGTTTAGAAACTTTGCAGTGGAAGATAATGAATTATGTTTCAGTTTTATTAAATTCAGTAAAACGAGAGAATAATATGTGAGCGTCAGTATTATATTTTTACACCTAATGTTTATATGAGTAGATTCAGCAAAAGTTCATAAGGTAGGATTGTGTGAATCCAAAATCACCAATATTTTTTAGTACTGGAGGATGTATATTTAATTGTTCATTAGTTGCTCATTGTCTTAAGTCAGTTTTTTTAAAGTGATACTAAATGTAACAGATATATGAATTATGAATGACAAACGACACAATACAAGGGAGGTGCCAACAGATTTCCCATGGAAACTAATAGAAGACATGACAAATGGTTTTGCGGTGGAGCAAAAAATTGGTAGTGGTGGATATGGGGCGGTTTACAAGGTATGGTTAATGATTTTTGCTTCTGTCTTTTCAGTTTCATCTATCAATAATGAAACGCCTGCAATCAAAATGTGAAATAGGGAGTGCATCCAAATGGACAAGAGCTAGCTGTGAAAAAACTTCACCACATGCCAGGATTAGACGAGGATCAGTTTCAAAATGAACTTCGAATCCTTACTGGAATTTGCCATCCAAACATTGTCCAGCTCATTGGGAAAAGCTACATAGAGCAAGATAGATGTGTGGAACACCAAGGCAGACTAGTGTTCGCTACAATGATAAACAGAGCAATATGCTTGGAGTTTTTGCCTGAAGGAAGCCTTGAGCAGCATCTTTCTGGTATGAGATAATTTTGGTTAGTATAAGCTAGTTAGCGTTGATCTCTACAAATGCTAGTTACATTTGATAGAATAATTCTGTAAACATGTCTCATTTGTTTCATTCGTTTTCTTCTACATATGAACGGTCTGGACTTCGTTGGCATAATCGCTACAAAATAATAAAGGGGATTTGGGACGGTTTGAAATACCTTCATGGGGAAAAAATTTTCCATCTTGACCTCAAACCTTCAAATATATTGCTTGACAAGGATATGGTGCCAAAAATTGCAGACTTTGGCTTATCAAGGCTCTTTAGTGGAACTCGTCAATCTCGTACTACAGAAAATCTTCTAGGGACTCTGTGAGTTAAATGATCAGTTCCTTATAGATCTGTCCCTTATTTTTCCTTCTTTAAAATATTAGTATGTTTGCATTGTGCTTACACATGTGATATTCTAAGATATACTGTACTAAAAACCATTTGTGGAGGCGCTTCTTTTTTTTTAATAAGGGCGGCTCAATCTACAATCGTCTTTTAAAATGGTTTCAAACGAGCCACTTTCAGAAATGCATTTGTAGGGATTACTGGTATTTTTAGCCGTCCCTACAAATGCCTCTATCTTTAGAGGCTTCTAGATCTAGCCGCCTCAAAAATGGATTTCTAGAAGCGGCTAGATTTAGAGCCATCTCTAAAAAGTCGATTTATAGAATAATTTGGATCTAGAGCATTCTCTAAAAAATATGTGCACTATAGCAAAATTCATAACTTTGTCAAACGAAGTCGGCAGAAGACAAACTTTATAACAAAGTTGTATATGTCGTCGAGATCTACAACTTTTTAGTTGACAACTTTTTTAATTGAAATCATTTAGGTCCAACAAATTCTATTTGAAGTTCTCACATGTTGAAATTCAAATTATTTGAATTTTTCAAACGACCTCGGATGAAGAAATGGTCAAAACCAAAGTTATAGATCTCAAAAAGATATAAAATATTGCAGTTGATCACTTTTTCATTTGAAATAATCTATGGCCCCAAAATATAGTTTGAAGATCTCACATATTGAAATTCAAATTTTTCGATTGGCCTCGGATGAAGAAACGACAAAAACCAAAGTTGTAAATTTCGAAGAGTTATACAACTTCATAGTTGATAACTTTTTTATTTGAAATCATTTATCTAAGAAAAATTATGTTTGAATTTCTCATATTGAAATTCAAAATTTTCAAACAACCATGGAAAAACAACCAAACCCAAAGTTGTACTACTTGACGATATCTATAACTTTGCAGTTGAAACCCTTTTCATTTAAATTCATTTAGGGTCCCAAATACTCATTTGAAAATACGGTAAAATGAATACGAAGAGAATGTTTGGGCCCTCACAAGTAGGAATGAAAACGGATCGGATACGGACGGATATCACCGATATTATATTTGTTTTCATATTTCTGTTCTGATTCGGATTCGAATACGGATAATATCAACTATATCGGATAACATACTATTGGGTGTCGACATCACAAATATATGATTTGAGTATTCGGATACGGATACGGATACGGTATCGGATGTTGCATATCCAGACTCGGATACGGACAGATCTGAACCTCTCTAAACGAATTCGGTTTCGAATACGGTCGGAAAATATCCATACCGTTTTCATCCCTGCTCACAAGTGATTTTGAGGTAGTGTGATCAGGCAGCTATGCATGAGGCTTCGAGGCCGCGAGTTCAAAACCTTGTGGCCCGGCCTTTCCAGATTAAAAAAAGATTTTTTTCCAGTTTATGATTTTTGGAAAACAATCTGTAGAGGCAAGATTTTAGGGGCGACTAGGCCTACAGATCGTTTATTTCTAGCAACCTAAATTTATAGACGGTTGGCTCAGTTGCCTAGGCATCTCCGTAGTAGTGATAGAGTGCCTTCATGATTTTGAATATTTAGTGGAAAACAACCACTGATTTGAATCGTGAAACACCTCTCGAAAAAATTAGTCTCAAAGTTTTTTTTTAAAAAAAGACTCAGGAAATTCACGTACGTTTTCATGGAGTGGCCTACATATGTATAAAATTTCAAGTCCAGACATCATTTTTTGAGAGCACCGAACAAGGAAATAATGCATTTGCTCCATTTTTTCTATTTCTGTACAATCTGTCAAATTTATATTTCTTAAAAGAAGCCGAGTTTTGCACTTAAATGTCAAGGTATCACTTATCTGCATATGATCTTTTGCACAAAAACACTAGAGCTATTTTTTGGCTAGGGTGTGTTGTGTGTTGTGATTCCGGCACCTAATGCGGAAGCGATTGCTTGAATCTACCTGGGCGAGATGCTCATGAGAGATCGTGCACACCACACAAGAGACTCGATATTTGGTAACGAGGTTCGGCCGAAGCCTACATCCCCGGGGCATGCTTACGGGCACTCCTCCCCAAAACTACGAAGCTGGCTGCCCAAGGTGCCGGCCAAAGCCGCCAGCACCCCCCGGCGAGCCTGTCACCATGTGTTGCTTCTCACTCTCATGTTAGAGTGGGTTGCAAGTGCAGCCCCCTCCTCCTTTTATAGAGGGGCCGGGTTACAAGAGCCAACAAACCTTGCTCATCTAACCCCTACTGCTAATTACAACACAAGTCCACTATAACCCCAATTAGTACAAATAAATATTGGACACATTTCTAATGAAGGGTTTTGACAATCCCATCAAGAGGGGAGGGGGAGAGGGGACCAATCTCTCAAAGTAAGCTTTGAGAGTTAATGACAAATTAAACATCGAACCTGTCCTTGGCTTGGGAAAACCCTCCTTGACTCTACTAGTAGGTCTCTCAACTTTGTTTCCCTGGCCATCTTGCTCTTATTGTTTCTTCTTTATGGTAGCATGACAGGTTATGGCTTTGTGTCCATGTCACTGCTGGCTAGCCAAAGTTGTTGGAGGAATCCATTGGAACAATTATCCTCTAGCTCTTTGTCCGTCTCAGCCATGCTCCACCTGTGACCTGTCAGTGTAGCGAAGGGTTTGTGAGGTGGTGTTCATCATATCTATAACTTCAGTTGAAGGCTTGAAGCATTAGATCTTAGCAGCTATTGTTCAAATATGGATCATCCAGTGCTTCAACCTTGTTGTGTGGTGGCACAAGGGCGTGATATGGAGTGAGGAGAGAAGGAACGATTGGCTTGGCCTGTCCAGCGGTTTGTACGGGTGAGGTTGCATTATATATTTGGTTTATGGTGTAGGAGCATTGCAAGTATTTGTTGAGCATGTTCATAAGCAAATCTATGGTTCTATTATGTGGGCAGTCCAAAAGCCATTTTTAGATCAGGGTTTATCCAATTCTAGCTTTGCACTTTGGGTTTCCTTTCCACTACAGGTACCAAATGGATGGTGACAGGGAATTGCATGAATTGTAATCATGGTTGAATTTTAGTGAAGACGATATTATTGAACTTCATTGCAAATTTCTTTTAATGGGTGAATGGGGTATTTTCAGAGTAGAAATAGTTGCCTTTTGGCCTTTTCAATGTACTATTTTCTGTTTTTCGTATTGTATATTAGAAAGCAGATTACTTTGGGCCATCTTTTCTATGAAATAAATTAATTACGTTTACACATCATTCTTACTTACAATGTGATGCTTCAAATATATTTCAGCGGATACGCGCCACCAGAGTTTGTAGATAAGGGGAAAATCACAAACAAGTTTGATGTATTTAGTTTGGGTGTCATAATGATAAAAGTATTGGCAGGACCCGATGGCCGCTCCACATATTCTGATATGTCCACTCCCCAAGACTTCATTGATCTGGTATGAGAAGTCATTTCCCATTATGAGGACGATAATGGCCATTTTTTTTTTTTCTTGTAGTTTTGGCTCCTCACGTTTTGATAGTCAAGTCAGGTATGGCGTTTCCTGATTCACTTCAGTTGCAGGTTCAAGGAAACTGGAGAAAATGCTACTGGCGGCAGGGTGGAAAGATGCTTCGTATTTGGATGCGTATTGCAACCAAGTGAAGACTTGCACTGAGATCGCACTGAACTGTGTGGAATCCAACAGCCACAAAAGGCCCTGTATTGAGGATATCATCACTATGTTGAATGAAACAGAAGAAACTATTGATAAACTGTACCAGCACCTATTTGTTGTCCAGCCTCCCTATCTCTGCTTCCCCTTCGAGCCAGATAAGCTGATTCCATGTCCAGTGCACCTGACCAACAACGCAGATCATGGCATTTCCTTCAGGATTCAGACAAATACCCCAGACATCTTTGCCAATTCGCTCCGAGGCATTGTGCCTGCACGATCCACTCAGACTTACATTTTGACGATGCAAAAGCAACAGAAGCCACCCACAAACCTGGATACGATCCACATCGAGAGCGTTGTAGCCCAAGTGGCCTTCTGGGACATTGGCTGCTCTTTTACCAAATTAGAAGCGGTTCATGATGAGTCGAAAGTAGTGAAGATAACGAGCCTTTCTGAGTGTGCAAGCCAGCTAGCATCCAAGGTATGTTCTGTAAATTTGCTGCTCATCTTGGGGGGCAAATTAATTGCTTTATTTCCAGTGATATTAAATGTCCTGCTGACAACAAAAGAGAAAGCGTAAAACTTATCACTCCCCGTAATGACAAATGGATTGAGAATTTGAGATCACATCATTTTTTTTTCTGTAGTGACTTTTATTTTGTAATATACTTATTCTCTGTTTAATTTGTCCTTGGGCGTCATTGTGCGACTGCTTAATTTCGTGGTGTTGTTACACCAATACAGCCCAGAATTGAGGTATATACATAATTTATTTTTCTTATTTTTTGCTCATAATAATATATGACGAATATATCTTTCGGTGGTAATTAGCGTTTGTTTGATTTGATCAGGTATTATCCCTGAATCCTACTTATGCTACCATAGACGTGCATCCATTGCAGCCATGGTGCGTGCAAAGATTGTTTATTTACTCGCCATCGAAATGACACGGATTAGCATTGATTATTCGTTCATCGAATTCTTCAACGCAACTGTTATTTGATCTCACAGAACTTGTTATGTGGTACACGCAGGGTTCTAATTACGACATGTGAGGCACCTGGCATTGAAATTTGGAACTACAAGACCAGGGTAAGTGCTGCACAGACACTAGCTAGTCACTACTACACCCGTACCAGGAATGGTAAAATAATTTTAGGTTTAGCCTATGGTAAATTATACAAAGTTTGACTAAGTTTATAAAAATAATATCAACATTCATGGCTCCAAATAGATGCTATGAAAATATCATTACAATGATAATAGTATGGCAAATATTAGCATTTTTTTACATAAAATTTAGTCAAACTTTTGACTTAGCTCTATACTAGAATCGCATCTTTCTGGGATAGAGTGTGCGTTGTAATTCAAATATGTGGGTTATGCCTTTTTTTAACAACCTTACCGCCCATAATGAAACTATTGTTAACCCGTCAAATTAAGCTTATATGCGGGTTTGCGGGCTAGCCCACTTGCATCCTTAGTTTTCCTCTAGTATTCTAGCTAAACTTATTTGTTTATTTTACGTAATATTGATTTTTGTACTTATCATTACTAAAATTGTTTCAATCTTTCATATATTAGAGCAACAAGACTAGAATGTTGTAATGCCCTACATAGGGACCCGTCCCGTTAATCTACCTAAATCGGGTATTATCCACTTGACCAACTCAATTTAAACAAATCAACCTCAGTGATCCTTGGAGAGATGCCATCCACATCTCCACTATGCTAGGATTCCGGTTGAGTATCACACCACAATAGCCGTCACACATCAAGATTACATCTCAACAATACAACCGGTGAGCGGGTTCGATGCTAGAGGAGTAGCCCTAGGGCAAGAACCGACAAGCGGGTTCCAAGCCGTGCCGCGCTGCCTGTGCCCGGCGATTGCGGTGCTGCTCCGCCGCAAGCTACCCCGCGCCGCCCACCCCAGCCTTTCGTGGCCTTGCTCCGTTCCAAGTAGCTGCCCACGCCCGGCGGCCGCGTCTTGGTCGGCCCACGCACTGCCCCGCCCCAGCCTTCCAAGTCGCTCGGCGGCCGTGTCTTGGCCGGCCCACTCGTCTCCCCGTCCTAGCCACTCATGGCCGCGCCCTTTGCCGCCGCTGCTCCGAGGCGTGCAGTGTCCATGGTGACGAGAGTCAAACATAGGGGTATGTTAAGTCCCTAAAAGAAAGGCTCCCGACCGATAGACCCCCCCCCCGACAGACCCCTCCAGGATCGCTCGAGGGTTCGGGGGGCTATACCCATTGGGTATGCTCGTGCGTACTCTCAGGTCAAAGTTAGGCGTAGCCCAAGCACGCCCCTGCCTCTGCTCAGGGCTCGGGGCTCAGCAAGTCCCTGAGCAACCGACCGATGAGAGACTGAGCCTGAGCCCAGCTCTGCCCCAGCCCAAGCTAATGGTCGGGCTAGCCACCGACGCCCCGAGCGTCAGCCACTTCCTAAGCGTTGGCCAGCCCACCGAGCATCCAAGGCTCGGGGGCCCCCCAGCGCCTGCCCGAACAACGGGTATGAGGCACTATCGGCCACTCCTCCAACAAAGCCACATACGTGGCATGACACAACAGGACAAGCTGCTCCACCGGCTCTAGGGATGCGGGGCTCCCGGGCTCACTTGTTATTAGCCCCCTAAGCTGGGGCACCTTCTCCACTAAGGAAGCCTCAAGAAGGCTCACCTGGTGGAGGCCGATCCTCAGCAGACATACCCTGTCAATCAAGCGCCAAGGCCACAGCGACACCAGGCGACGCCCTTAGCTCCCCTGACTCCATGACAACGCCGAGGTCCATCCATGCCGCAGCAGCACCCTCCAGGACCCCGGAAGTTGCCTTGTACCCAACCTTCCCCAGGATATAAGAGAAGGTCAGCTCCCATAGTCAGGGTGATCTTCTCCCTTCCCTCATTCTCTAGGAGGCTGAGCAGTCGAGCTCGGCCGAGAACACAACAACAAAGAGGAACAACATAGTGTTCCTCCACCTGGCAACCTAGCAAGAGAGAGGAGTGTTTCCCTTACTTGCTAGGGAAGAAACCCCACCATCGACGAGCCTCAGGATAGCACCGATCGATCCCCTGCCAAACTCTCTTTCTCCTTGGTTGTAACCCCTCGATTTGGGTGCTCTCGAATACAAAGACTACTCTCTGCTGGACATAGGGCCTCGAAAGCTTGAACTAGGATACATCGCCATGTATCCTCTTGTGTTCTTGAGTGCCCAAGCCACCGGAGACCCACAATCCTGACATCCAATGAACAATGATGCTTGCCACAGTGACGAACCCACGTCACCTGTAATCACGCGACGCCTCACAGTGATAAGGTGGAGATGGCTAGGTGGTGGGTCGGACCCTGATCACGCACACTGCCTACGCCCGGGCACTGTGCTGCTACTCTGGCCCAAGGCACCTCGAGTGGCCCCACCCTAGCCAATCGTGGCTTATCTGCCGCCGTCGCTTTGAGGCGTGCGGTGTCCGTGTGCGGCGTCTCCCTAGGAGTCACGCTCCTGTCCCTGGGAGAGGACCACCGGCTTTGTGGAGACGTGCGGTGAGGGGTTCAGGTTGCCAAGGAGACGTAAGTCGAGGAGTCATGTGCGGGCCTGTGATCATGAGTCGCGCGGGGGGAGGGAGGACGGGATGAATTAGAATCGTTGGATATGAGTTATTAAGGAGAGATAAAGGTGAAAATTAATCCTAGATTGTTGATTTCACTTGTTCATTTTCCTTGGTGAAAGGATCAAGATGCCCAAGAGGGGGGTGAATTGGGCTAATTCTAAATTTTTTGCAATAATTAAGTCCTACACTTAGCCCACTTCACCCCTTGTGCCTAGAATATGATTCTATTGTTCTACCGCACAAAAGTTTAGCACCCTAAGTTCCAATCCTATTCTAGCATGGCAATTCTAGTAATGTAAAGACTTGAAATGAATTGCTCAAAAGTAAATGCTCAAAGTAAAGAGAGGGAAAGGAATGCGGCGATGTTTTGCCGAGGTATTGGAGAGTAGCCACTCCCCACTAGTCCTCATTGGAGCACCCGCGCAAGGGTGTAGCTCCTCCTTGATCCGCGCAAGGATCAAGTGCTCTCTACAGGTTGATTCTTTGACACTCCGTCGCGGTGAATCGCCCACAACTGCTCACAACTTGAGTTGGGTCATCCACAAGTTCCGTCGGATGATCACCAAACTCCCAATCACCACCAAGCCATCTAAGTGATGGCTATCACCAAGAGTAACAAGCACAAACTCTCACTTGACCATGACAAGCCTAATGAGAAGGGTGGATGCACACTTGCTACTCTCCTTGCACTAATGAGGCCTTAATCTTGGATTCTCAAATCTCAATCACCTCACTAGGCTCTTGCTCTCCTTTGCACTCTCAAGGGTGTTTCTCAGCTGAACAAATGGGCAAGAGACCTCCTTTGGATGAATAGAGTGAGTATTTATACCCCCTCATTCAAAACAAACTGTTGCAAGGCTGAGTTAGCACTCTGCAGGGTGACCGGATGCTCCGGTCAGGGTGACTGGATGCTCCGGTCAGTTATCCCCGCCACTAGCCGTTAAGTTCTGACCGGACTCACCTGTGTCCGGTCAGTACTGACCGAACGCGTCCAGTCATGAAAAACACTCTCTAGAACCTTACTGATGTTGACCGAACACTGGAACCCAGAGTCTGGTCACCTCACTGTTCAACGTCCGGTTTGTTACCGGATCCTGACCAGCGTCCGGTCAGGAAAAACCGTCTCTAGAACCTCTCTAGAGTTGATCGGAGATAGGCACCTAGCGTCCGGTCACTTTCACCCAGCGTCCGATCGCAACTAGATGGCTCCAGTTGATCAAATGAACTAACCGGATTCACCCTTCAGCGTCTGGTCACAACTAGACTAGCATCCGGTCAGTCATTTGACCCTCCATTCACTTCCAACTCAAAATCATATGTGAATGCAGTTTCCTCCAATTGATCTTAGGGCTACTATTGAGCTACCTAGTGCTAGATTTGACAAGTGTGCACCACACCTAACCCACTAGACTCACCTAGATCAAGCATACTAGTCCATACCCCCTTAATAGTACGGCCAAAGGAAAAACAAAGTCCTCAGCTACTCTAAGTGTCTCTTCAACACCAAACGACACTTAGAACTAGTCCATCCTTTGAAAACCGAAACGATTTCCATCGTCAGGGGCATGACACCATGATTGCCCAATCAATTGCCATTACTATGACCTAACTCAAATTGCCTCTGCAAAACACACGTTAGTCATAGTAATCTCGTGTTATCATTAATCACCGAAACCCATCTAGGGGCCTAGATGCTTTCAATCTCCCCCTTTTTGGTGATTGATGACAACACAACCTCGAGTATGTAAAAGAGATGAGTGAGGTTTTTAACATGGTTGGTTCATATAAGCTTTTGACAATAAGAGCAAAGGAGTTAGACGTGCTTATATGACCCAAGTCAACATGGTGTACTCAATAGATAAGAATTAAGCATGAGTACATAAAGTAAAGCTCATTTGAATCGGAGTAAAACACGGAAGCAAAACAAATGAGCATAACCAAGTGACATGACATATATATAAATCAAAGTAGAGAGCACACATGTCACATAAGTGTCACCATCATAAGTATGTAATGTAGTGCATGAAGGTAAACGTGAATGCATAATGTATCACACATAAAGAACCAAAAGAAATGAATCATATGCTCCCCCTAGATCTAACATACTCGATCCCTCTCCCCCTTTGGCGTCAAGCACCAAAACCTAAGGGTCGGACAACGGGACAGGAGCAGACGAGTCAGGCGCTGAGGTGCGATGAGAAATCTAGAACTGAGCAGCATCATCCTCTGACCCTGAACTCTGAGCGGTTTGACCCTCTGTTGCTGGAAGTGAAGGTGAAGAGGTCTGGGTCTACTCTAGCACTGCCTGTGAGTCTGGAAGTATCACTGTAGGAAGTGGAGCCACATCTGCCGCTATCACTGTGACTATCTGAGGTGGCTCGGATGATGCGATAGACGACGAGATCGTCTCTGTAGTCCTAGTAATAGGAGCAACTGTGGTAGGAATAGAGACTCACAACTCTAGCGGTGTAGGCTGCCCTATGAGCTC